GATAATGTTTAATTTGTAAATTAGGCACAGTAAGAGATTAACAACAGTAACTAATAATAAAATGGAATGATTTCGGGATCCCTGGGTGGCGCAGCGGTTTAGCGCCTGCCTTTGGCCCAGGGCGCGATCCTGGAGACCCAGGATCGAATCCCACGTCAGGCTCCCGGTGCATGGAGCCCGCTTCTCCCTCTGCCTGTGTCTCTGCCTCTCTCTCTCATTCTGTGTGACTATCATAAATAAATAAAAAATTTTAAAAAAATGGAATGATTTCAACAACAAACCATAATAAAAGTTATGTGAATGTGGTCCTTCTTTCTCTCTCTCTCTTAAAATATTGTACTATACTCACCCTTCTTGTGATGTAAGAAGGTAAAATGCCTATGTGATGAGATGAAGTGAAGTCAGTGACATAGGCATTGAGACTTGGTGTTAGACAACTACTGACCTTGTGACAAGAAGTAGGAGAATCATCTGCTTCCAGACCACAGTTGACTGCAGGTTAACTGAAACTGTGGAAAATGGAACTATGGATTAAGAGGGGTTACTATAGTCAGTTTTCAATCTCATAAACCTCAGGCATACATTCGGACATTTAAGGCACAAGACATTTGAGAAAAACCCTAATTCAACATTGACAATAGAAATACAAATGCAGGAATGCCTGGGTGGCTCAGTGGTTGACCATCTGCCTTCAGCTCAGGGAGTGATCCTGGGGTCCTGGGATGGAGTCCTACATCAGGCTCCCCGCAGGGAGCTTGCTTCTCCCTCTTCCTATGTCTCTGCCTCTTTCTCTGTGCCTCTCTCATGAATAAATAAATAAAGTCTTTTTAAAAAAAGAAATGGGAATACAAGTGTAGATATTGAATCTATGAGCCAAAACAACATGTTATTAAAAAGAAATATAAGTGAGACAGTGGAAATTAAAAATATAATAAGTAAAATGAGAGAAGAGAAAAATGAAGAAGAGAGAAGAGATTTTTTTCATGAGAAGCATGAGGAAATATCCAGAGAATAGGAATAAAAACAAACAAATAAAGATTAAAAATAGGAAAGAAAAGACAAAATCAGAAGACCAGTCCAGGAAGTCCAACATCAAAATAATGAAAATTCTGGAAAAAGAAAACAATAGAAAGAGAGAGGAGGCACTTATTAATGAAATGATCCAAGAAAATTTCCAAAACCAAAAGAGAATATTTTCTGTATTGAAAAGGCTCTCTGAAGGTCCAACATCATAGGTTAAAATAAAGGGAAGCTTGATTTTCCCCTTCATCTTAAAGTTACAGAAGTGCCTTATTTAGAAATATAAGGTTGAAGCTTTATTCTCTACAAATTTACTGTGTGACTTCTCTATATTTAGGACATTGTTACCCGTGCTTCTAAATGAGCACATAGCTATATGCTGGGAAATATCCCAACATGCCCAATCCATTGGCACAGAGCTGACACTGAGGCAAATTGAATAAAGCTGCAGTCTGCAGCAATTCAGAGGGATGTCATCTCAAGAACCCTATCTTCCCGGCTTAGTGGAAAGACATGAACAGAGTCACTGAAGCACAATTATTTTCTTCACAACCACATCATTAGCCTAGACAACAAAGCATGGCATAAATAGCAACATCAAGATTCTTGCTTCACAAGAATTCCCAGGGTGCTCTCTTTGCTGGAGTCTCTGACATCAGGATCATAATAATCCAGCTCTAGAGATTACCTGGCTATGATCCTCAAGTCTACTTTATGGCCTCTTTTGAAATACTGATCCTGTCCTTTCAGGACACATTGCTAATATGGAGGCTCACAGTATTATATCCTGGAATGGAGTTTGAGATCCTTCCAGATTGCATATTTTAACTCCAACTCTAGCATGCAGATGAGTTGGCACCCACAGAAAGAAGTAAAAATGGGGTAGCCTATATGAATCAGCCTGTGTGGCTGTCAGAGATTACCCTGCAAATTGGGAATTGAATTTGATGAGTAGGAAGACCTAGCTTAGTGGGTTGAATAGTAGTTCCCCTAAAAAATACCCATTTGGAACATCAGAATGGGCTTTTATTTGGAATAAGAGTCTTTTTGATGTAATTAAGGGTCTCAAGATGAAATCATTCTGGATTTAGGGTGAGTGTCCTTATAAGTGAAAGGAGGAGATCTGGCATACAGAGACACAAGGGAGAAGACAGAGGTAGAAGCAGCTAGAAGCCAAGGAATGCCAAGGATTCCAGCCACCACTAGGAGCTAGAAGATAGTCATCGACCAGATCCTCCCTGAGGGCCTCCAAAAAGAATCAATCCTTACAACACCTTGATTTTGGACTTCTGGACTCCAAAACTGTGAGAGAATAAATTTCTGGGTTTTTAAGCCACCAAATTTATGATTATTTGCTATATTAACCAACCCTAGAAACAATACACCCTCTCAGACCTATTCTAAACCTGCTTCGGCTAGAGAGGAAGTCAAAGTTCCTCAGAGGTCATCTACTTTGCTGATTTCATGATGCAAACAAGAGCTAATATCTCTAAGGTCCTATTTACACAATAGAGATGAGATCACTTTTAAACTTCAAAGTACAGTCATGTACAACTTATTAATTTCCACAGTATGCTTGGGTCAAATAGGTACGTGTCAGTAACTGCACTTCGGAGTATAGCAAATAAGTCCCTTGCTTAATGTGATCAAAGGAATTCTTGACAGATTGGCTTCAAAACAGACTCCCTTTAAAGTAAATATGACAGGAAAATGAAGCATTCGTGGTCCTGAGTGATACAAAAAGAATTGGAAAGCAGAGGATTTGCTATGCAAACATTCTAGAAGGTCTTATTTCATATATATATATATATATACATATAAATGTGTAAATATATATTTGTATGTATAAATATATGTACATATATAAAACCCATATAAAATACATGTTGTAATTTTCCTTGAAAAGCAAATATTAAAACCCTGGCTTTTGCTACCATCAAGATGATTTCTCATCACCTTGTTAAAATAAAAGTTTCCCTGGGAACTTTTATCGACCTTACAGACTTGCAGAGGGGGTATCTATCCCACACAATCTTAGAGTAGGCATGTCTCAAGCCATAATTTATAGGAAAGACTTTGGGGCAAAACAGTGAACAAAACTGTAATGTCTAGAACAAGGGACATGGTAGCTGTGGTCTACCCTGCCATAATCAGACTGTATCTAGAAAAGTCTGTTATTTACGACACAAAAAATTAGATATTTCTTAACATAAAAAGATCCTAGGGCAGCCCAGGTGGCTCAGAGGTTCAGCGCCGCCTTCAGCCCAGGGCATGACCCTGGAGACCCGGGATCGAGTCCCGCGTAGGGCTCCCTGCATGGCGCTTGCTTCTCCCTCTGCCTGTGTCTCTGCCTCTCTCTCTCTGTGTCTCTCATGAATAAATAAATAAATAAATAAATAAATAAATAAATAAATAAATAAATCTTAAAAAAAATGCTTTTGGAAGTAGAGCTATCCAGAGATAGGATGGGCATCTTTAATAAGTATGACCCTCTACCCCAGGGGTATACAAGCACAGGCAGGTGAGTTACTTTGTGGGCATGCTGGAGACATTTAAGCTTTTTTCTAATTCTAATATTAATCAAATCTGTGGTCTTCTCACTTGTAATTTAAATATCTCCCAGGTCTCCAGAATCTGAAGTTCTGGTCCTGACTCTGAAAAATGTAAATGATTTCTATGAAACTAAAGTCCAGGAATGACTTTGCCACATATTGTGTTGCTGTACCTCTCCTGCTAACTTGAGTATGTTATTGTTTAAATGTGAATAATGTTTAACAATATGCCAAAATGAGATGGAGTGTGAAGACCAGGTAGGGTGGTCCTTAGTGAGCAAGAATAGGGTATGTGGGTTGGCTGGGAAAAATCAGGGTTCTACAGAGAAACAGAACATATACGATATCATATATCATATATATAAGGAGAGAGAGGAGAGAGAGAAATTTAAGGAATTGCCTCATGGGATTATGGGGGGGTTAGTCCCAATGCTGCCATGTGGATAGGTAGGCTGGAGAGTCAATGTTGCATTTCAAGTCCCAGTGCCATCTGCTGAGAAGTCAGTGTTTCTATTAAAGCCTTCAACTAATTGGATGAGGTCTACACACATGGAGGGGGTACCTGCTTTATTCAAAGTCCACTGATTTAAATGCTAATTTCATCCAAAGAACACTTTCACAGAAACTTCCAGAATAATGTTTGACCAAATATCTGGGCACCACAACACAGCTAAATTAACACATAAAATTAGTCATCACACCAGGGGATGGTACCTGGGAAGTTCTTTGACATATGTGGGTACCACCGCTAAAGGATGAGAGGGGATGGGAAGCAGAGTTGGCTAACAAATGTCACTGAACATCTTCCCACATTGCCCTTGTGCTTTCCAAAAGGGTATCTCCAAACCCAGATCCTTTAAAACTCTAAGCTAAGTAGACAGATTTTGTATATTGAATGATACCAAGTAAGCGCCATAACCGAGATACGGTCCACTCTACATCTGTTACACACACTTCATATACACAACTCCATAGTCATAAGTAAATCACATTTTAATCAAACAAAGACATGGTAAACCTGTTCCTCTAAGGCACCTCAGAATTCAGAGGAAGGAATACAAAGGAAAATAACCTAAAACCCATGCTTCAAAATAGCTTTTAGGTTGAAAAAATACCACTGGTAGGGAAAAGCTAAGACAAATGGGGTTATTCTTTTATCTTCAAATCAGGACCATTAGAAGGACTCAAAATGATGAAGAGAATGTTTTTTAATTTTAATTGCTAACTTTTATCACAAAATCACCACAAATTAGGTAGTAAAAGTTTAGGGTGCAGAAAAAAATGGAAGAGGGAAAAATATCATCAGTGTATCAAACAAGGCTAACCAAAACAGCTTTAGTTAGACAATGATTTCTGCATGATTTGTATAGCTAGGTACTATCATGGGAATGCCTTTTTTTTTTTTTAATTTGGCAAGCTTTCTGAAGGCTATTTTCTTAAAGTTTCTACTTCTGGCATCTGCTTTTCAGACACATCAGGGATGTAAATATTAAACAGCAATTGTAAATAGCATGTCATCTTTTCAAACCAAATCAACCTCAATTTGAAATATATTAAATGTCTGTAATACAGAAGTCCATTGAGAACAAAGAGACACATGTAGATATAATGTATATGTGGAGACTTCACCAAAGGGATCAAAACCAAACATAGGTAGATAGCTGTTGTTACCAATGGTAATGGAAAAGACATCTGGGGAAAAAAAAAAGCAAAATTCAAACAATAAGATATGAAAATCCACATAAGGTATCTGTATATTTATATAAACAAAAAAATAAGATATAAGCTAATGATAGAAAATGGGCTAAGTTATCTGAGTTTAAATAAATCTGGCTTAGTAGTTAGTATGTTGAAGACTTCTTTGTCAGGGTATTGGCTGAAAGAAATGAACAATGTTTGACTGTTCTTGAGTGGAAATAATCATGATCATTCGTTAGTAAGATAAGCATCTTCTGATCTAGGCAGAATGAATTCCTTAAGAAGTTACTCCTAGAACTCAATGAAAGGCACAATTTTCCTGGGAAAATATCTCAAGGCAGCAAGAAATTCATGTCAAAAACACAAAGTATCCTTGGACCCTCTGTTAGGCAGGTATTGACAGGTAAATATTATAACTTTATAGGCTCAGGATATTTAAAAAAATCAAAACAAAAAACTTCAGCCAAGACCATTCTCCCTATTTCTAGTGGATTTTTGCTTTTGTTTTTGTTTTAGCCAAAAAACTTGAAGCCCTATTCTTGGTACCTGCTTTGTGTTAGGACTGTGAAGTGTGTCTTGCACCAAACATAAACCAACCTAGGGAGAAAGTTCAATAGGCAGACACTTTTAATATATCTTTAATAAATAGATTCCAATCTATACTCTCAAAATATAACTATTTTCATATTTATTAAACCCTTTAACTAGAAGGTCATTCCCTTGGGAAATTTAGTAAGAATTTCCTCTTGGGGCACCTGGCTGTCTCAGATATTAGAGCATGAGACCCTTGATCTCAGGGTGTTGAGTTGGGTGTAGAGCTTACATTAAATAAATAAAAAACAAAAATCTCTTCTTAATTTGTAAAACACCCCTGAGAAAGATAACTTGTCATCTCACAGCTCAATATAAATTATCAAATAACTGAGGGAAAAGAAAAGAGCATTCATATGGCATTCAAGACAAACATTAACTACTTATAATTGCCCTTGCCTTTCTTTTTGATGCAAATGTGTGTCAAATAATAATATAAATCATTATAACCATCAATGTCACACTCTGGACTGTTTGCATGTCTTAGCTTACATTCCACATTCCTGGCGTGTAGGCATTACTTATTCCCATTCTAGATCTGAAGAAAATGAGGATCAGAGGTTAAATAACAGGTGATTCCTCCTTCCTCATGTATTTTCTGAACACCCTCTGAAGGTCACCACGTGGCAATAATCATACTATGATTTTTGGTTCACTTGACCAGATAGATTATGCCCTAAGGGCAGGAGCCATGTCTTATTCCTTTCTGCACCCAGAATACCTGGTAAGATACTTAAGATATAGTTGCTTCTCAAAAACTGATACTCAAATATGCTAAAGTTACAGGATGGCTGGACGGAAGAAGTAGAAGAAAGGACTGAATACGAAAGATGGTTATAAGTCAACCAAGGTTGATGGTTAGAACATTGCTTTCTTTTTCCCTATGTTCTTTCTCTCTTTTTAAAAAGATTTTATTTATTTATTTTAGAGAGAGAGAGAGAGAATGCAAGCAGGGGAAGGGGTAGCGGGGGAGGAAGAGGGAAAGAATCCAAATAGACTCTCCGCTGAGTGCAGAGCCTGACACAAGGCTCCATCTCACAACCCTGAGACCATGACCTGAGCAGAAACCAGTAGCTGGAAACGTAACCAACTGAGTCACCCAGGTGCCCCTTCCCTGTGTTCTTTTTTAAATTTCTTATATTATATATTTCTTACAGTTATTTGTATCTGCTAAAAGGCAAACACTCCAAAGAGACTGCCTAGATTTCAATCCTGCCTCTGCTCCATGCTGTGCGAACTTGGGCAAGTAGCAAGTTTTCTAAACCAATTTCCTCATTTATAAAATGAAGATAAGAGTAGTATCCACCTTTTGTCTTACTGAGAGGATTACATGTGATAATGGAAGCAAAGCTTTTAACACGATGCCTAGCCCACCAGGACTATTCTGATAATCATAGCATCAAGGCCATGTTTCTCTAGTAGTATCCTTATGCTCCTAAGTTTTTGCTTATTTCTTTTTCCTTTTCTATGATTAAAAGTCTCTCCTGTAAAAACAAAAACAAAAAACTTCCTGATCCAGACTGAGAGTAAGTTAAAGAAAGTAAAGTGGAAAGGATGGAATTTTTGGTGATCAAATTAAGTTGATGTTTCAGGGGATGCCTGAGTGGCTCAGCTGTTGAGTGTCTGCCTTTGGCTCAGGGCATGATCCTGGAGTCCCTGGATGGAGTCCCACATCAGGCTCCCTGCATGGAGCCTGCTTCTCCCTCTGCCTGTGTCTCTGCCTCTCTCTGTGTGTCTCTCATGAGTAAATAAATAAAATCTTAAAAAAAAAAAAGCTGATGTTTTAGGATAGGAGGTGCTATCACCTGTGACCCCACAGCAGCACTTGTCTCTTCTATTTCGCACTTGCCAAATCTGACCCTGTGTGTGGCAAGATACCCATGTGCATAGGGAGCTACATTGGTAAACAAAGTAATCTCTGGCCAAAAGACTCATCATGATCTGTCTAATCACCCAGAAGACTAGCCTTCCCTCTAGTAAACCTAATAGAACCCAGGAGATTTTAGACTGAGGAAAATCTACCCAATAAACATGAAAGCTAAGGCCAGACTACCTTTATGCACTTCACAATTTGGTAGTAGTGAGAAGGTCTACCCACAGGTGTTCTGAATATAGTCTCCAAATATGGTTACACCTGATACATTTTATTTCACACAGAAAAAAATGAGAAAACTCACTTTTACCTTATAAGGTCTAGGTAGATTGGGCTCCTGGTATCGCAGTTTTAGTATTCCTATCATTGACAATACAGACCAAGTAGAAACTACAAAATAAAGATAGTTTATCAGATCAATTAGGGTTGTAGAGACAATAGCCATGGATGCCATAGTGACAAGTACTAGCACAGATACAAATGGAGAGGAGTGAAGATTAAGCATATTAAATAACAAAGGCAGTTGGCCCTCTTGGCCAGCCATATATGTCACTCTTGAGTATTCAAATACATTAACCAGAAGGTTGCTAAATATTGAGGCAGACGTACTACAAGGAATAACTCACGTGAATGAGGGGATAACTCCATCAATCCACATTATAGCCACAGCATCTGCAAAAAAAATAAGAGCACACAAAAGGCAGTGTATTAAAAACCAGAAACTAATGATAAACCTTTAAAGATTATTTCTGAATAAAAGCAGAAAATTCAAAAGGAATTAAGAAAGTTAAATTTTGTTTAATTTCACTGCTTATTTTACACAGACCTAACACCATACACACATGTACATTTTAGCCATATCACACTGTATCATAAATGCTTATCATCTCACACATTTCACCAATAGACCAGAAACTTCACTTCCTGCGGGCAATTTCTTTTCTATAAAAACTAGCATTTCAAAAGTCTCAGAAATATTGTTTCAGTTTTCAATAAGACCTGTGAAATGAATGGTTGAATCGAAGATTGCATGCTTATTTTCTAAAACGAGTTTACAGAGTGCTAATAGTTGCAATCAGAGTCAAAAGAGCACAGTGCAGTATTACTGACACAGGAATGAGCCTTACAAAGTCTCCACACCATGGTGCAAGTATTAGAAATATCAAATATTTCTATTTGAAATACTTAAGAGAAATTTAAAAATCAACCCTGTAGACAGAGAAAACAAATTACACATAGATTAAAATAGTGATGACATTTGGTTGCTTGTCTAAACTATAGACCAGTGGCTTTCAATGGGAATTGATTTTGCTCCTCAGGGGTCATCTGGCAATATCTGGAGACATTTTTTTGATTGTCACAACGGGGGGGAGGTAGGAGGTTACTATTGGCATCTAGTGGGTAGAGGCCAAGGATGCTCCTAAACATCCAACAGTGCCAGGAAGCTGTCCATAACAAAAAATTATATGGTCTAAAATGTGTAGTGCTGAGATTGAGAAACCTCCTATTGACCAACTATTAGAGAATATTCTGATGTTCATACTCAAAAGTGAAGAGCTCTTATAAACACTCTTTCAGTATGTCAGTAAACACACACACAAAAAGATGTTAATAAAGAAATGCATATCCATTGTTTATGAGACTCTGAGTCCAATTCCTATTACATAGATATAAGCTAAGACAGATCATTCAGATACAGAAAAATAGGTTCTCAGCTTTTCAATGGAGTGAGTACACCAAGATCTAGTATCTTTGGGAGTAGGTATCCTCTAGGGCTTTGCCCTGGTGCCAACATTGCCTCTAGGACATCAATGAAATGACTTATAACAGATAGTAAAGCCTTTTCAATATGACAAAATTAAATTATCATTAATGGTTCTTGTTCTTAAAAATCTTCATTTTTGAACCCATTTTAAACAGCCTTATTAAGTGCTGTTTTCACTTCTCTCTCTAGAACTATCCTACAATGTTGGGTCCTGTTTTAAAGTGTTTCCTGGGGGCACCTGGGTGGCTTAGTTGGTGAAGCATCCTCCTTCGGCTCAGGTCATAATCCTGGGATCCTGGGATCAAGCCCCACATCAGGCTCCCCATGGAGAGTCTGCTTCTCCTTCTCCCTCTGCCTCTCCCCCTGCTTGTGCTCTCTCACTCTCTCTGTCAAATAAATAAATAAAATCTTTTAAAACAATAATAAATAATTTCCTGTCTCACTTATTGTTCATTTCAAATAAGGTATTATCGGCTGTTCCTCCTGGACACCCATACCTCCACACATTTTCCATTTTCAAACACATTTCAGAAATACTTCTTTCCAGTAGTGAAGTCCTTATTCTCCTTTGATTTCCTGTCATGCATTCTACAAACCCAGTTGGTTATAATTAGATGAGGTTCTAGTTGAACTCTGCTATAATCTTTATTCCACAAGTAATTTTTTTCTCTTTTTATTCTTTTCCTCATGGCATTTTTTTAAAAAAATATTTCTTTATATATGTTTTTGGTAAAAAGTAAAATAAATAGCAGTGAAAAACATAAAGTAAAAACTAAATGTCTCTCTCCTTACCAACCCTTCATTCATGCACCCCAAATATAACTACTGTTACCATCTTTTTGGATATTCTTTCAGAAATTTTCTATGCATATATAGGCGTCCATGTGAGTTGTGTACATGTGTGTGTGTTCAAACACACTTAGGCTTGCTTTATTTTTAACTTTCCAACATATCTTGATCATATTAGTATATATGCATCCATCTAATTATTTTAAACAATTCTCAATATTCCATTATATAATTAAATTAAATTATTTAGCAATTGGTGGATTTTCAAGTTGTTTTTTGTTTGTTTGTTTGTTTGTTTGTTTTGTTTTGTTTTTTTGCTAATATAAGATGTACTTTAATGGACATACTTTTCAGGTCTTAGTAGTTGTGCAGTTCTCTTCTTAGAGTAAATTCTTAGAAGTGGGACTATGAGTCCAAAGGTGATACCTTCTTAAATAAGTAAGATATTATAAAATTACCCTCCCAAAATGATTACACCAACTCACTTGTAAGTGATTCTGACATTTCTGTTTTCCTCTCAAAATTTCTAACCACATTTGGTTGGCCAGATACCTGCAGGCTATTTTTGGTCAGGGAACCTCCTTAGCCTCTGCTCCCATGCAATTTATTTACTGTTCTAGATTCACTCTTACCATGCCAATATTCTCTAGTTTTAATAAGAACATGGAACCCTCAGGAAGGTTCTACTAAATGGGAGCACCCTTGTCAGGAGTGCTTTAGCAGGACTTCGATAACATTGATATCCTCAAGCTGAAAAAGGCAGGAACGAGGGTTTCCCACTATGACATTTCCACACACCTCATTCTAGAGGGACATCCTTCCAACTGGGTTACAAAACTTATTCAAAATTAAGGCTATTTTTTTCTTCTAAGAGAAGAATCAGCAAAGAAACAGGTCAGAGCTCTAACATTGATACAGATAAAAATACTGCATGATTAATAGCACTGGTTCTTTTTCCACATAAACCACAGAATCTAATATGTATCACAGCTTGGTACAATTTTTTTTCAATGTTCATCAAAGACTACGTAGCACCCAATTCACACCACATCTTAGATAATTCTATATTCTTTTGGAACTTTTCATGTCTTTTAAATATGCCCATTTGATTGAAAACATTCACTCTTTAATCCTTAAATTTCTTTAATTTAGGAATCTATTTCTTTTGCTTATAATTTCTTTCTTTCACTGCATAAATTACACAGTTCATGCATTCATTAAAGAAAATTTGTGAAATCTAGAAAAGAATAAAGCAAAAACCACCCACAAGATCATTCCAGCATATCTTGACCATTAACTATGTACTTTCTGTTTCATTTATTTATTTTTAAACATTTTATTTATTCATGAGAGACACACAGAGAGGCAGAGACACTGGCAGAGGGAGAAGCAGGCTCCCCTATAGGGAGCTTGATGTGGGACTCGATTCCAGGACCCCAGGATCACAACCTGAGCCAAAGGCAGATGCTCAACCACTGAGCCACCCAGGTACCCTTTACCTTCTGTTTTATATTGTAATAGATCCTGACTTTTCATCATTGTTACATTATAAACATTGTCTCTTTACTTTAAATATTCATAGCAACATGATCTTTGAAAAAGCTTAGAATGGCCTATTATATGGATTTCCATAAATTATTTACTTCAACTCTACTAGATTGTTTGGTGGTCTTTAATTTTTTGTCTCATATGTAATGCTATGATAGTTGTTCTTATGCATATATTTTTTGTGTATAGCTCTGATTATTTTCTTAATTTAAGTTCCTAATACAATAAAAGATGGATGTTTGAATTCAAGAGAATTATTTCAGAATCTAAACGAGGTCTGAGGATTATATGCCTAGAAGAGTAAGCATTAAAAACCAAATCACAAGCATTAGTCAAAACACTTCATGGGTCTTCCACACTGGTGGGTCTTCCACACATGTGGAACAATTGTGCCGCTCATAGAATTGCTGCAACTATTAGGACGCACCAGATGAGATCATCATAATTTTTAACAGCCAGTATGACCAGAGCACCGGCAGTCATTACACATGCCAGAATCAATGAACCATAAAGTCTGGGTCAGCTGATCAGCAGTCCTGACCACACCCATAATTAATTTTGTAAATTTATTCTTTGCATAATCAAAGTAGTTAATAAATCACTAATTGTTCTTATCCAATTTAGCAATTTTTTTCCCCCACAGACGCTCAGAATCTTGATCATGTCTAGTTTACAGTTCCCTAACAGAGCTGGACCATTGTAAATCAACACTAATGCCATGCATATGGCAGCTTCCTGCATGACACTAACACAAGAATGGAGGCAAAATGTGTTAGGACACTTACATTAAACCTCTCTTAGATTTACCTCCAGTGCTTCAAAGATTTACCGAAACAGTAATAGCTACTCAAAAAAAAAAAAAAAAAAAAAAAAGATTAGTTCTAATGGTACTGCATGCTAGTTTATCTCAGAAGTTTATTGCATATTTCCAATATGTTCAGGGCCACTTGGTCACCATAAATTTTAGAGTCATTTATAATAAACATTATATTATGTATTATTGCTATTAATTATACCCATCAATTCACCATTATCATCTATTCTTTTAACTGCTAATATTCCACAATTCAAGTTTATCATTCTTTATATCACACAGAAGAACATTTTTTAAAAAGATTTTATTTCCTTATTTATTTGACAGAGAAAGAGAGAGAGAACTAGAACAAACAGCGGGGAGCTGCAGTGGGAGAGGGAGAAGCAGACCTTTCACCGAGCAAGGATCCTGACATGGGGCTTGATCCTGGGTCCATGACCTGAGCCACCCAGGTACCCCTCACGTAGAAGAACACTTAGAAAATCAATGTGGTAAAAGCTTTAATAGACTGATGAAAGTACAGATTACATAGTGTCAATCCGGTGAGGGAATATCACAAAAGGAATATAAATATTTTGAACTTAGTCTGCATCATATGTAAGCATTATAAGTATTTTTCCATATCACCAGAAATATGCTTTTCCATATTAGCTGCTTAACTAGAAAATTCTTTCCTAAGCCAAATCATACTCTTTGGCCTCTTCGTTATTTTCGAGAATTGCAAGTTGACTCTCTATATAAAATAATTAAAAACAAACAGCAGTCTGCCCGTTAAAGTGATATTTACATGTGCCAGAACTGTCCTTATTATTATTTATTGCCTTAGTCACTTGTATACAAACCTGAAGAGAGAATTTCCTTGGGTATCAGAACAGTCAGGTAGGAAATACTAACCTATAGATATATGATAGTCACCAGAGGTAATGCAGTAAATATGCATCTTGGAATCATCTTTCTGGGTTTCTTCAGCTCCCCTATAGCACATAAAACAGCAAAACCACGATGGGTAAAAATCATGTCTTAAATTTATCATTTTTTAAAAGATTTTATTTATTCATGAGAGACAGAGAGAGAGAGAGAGGCAGAGACACAGGCAGCAGGAGAAGCAGGCTCCATGCAGGGAGCCCGATGTGGGACTCGATCCCAGGTCTCCAGGATCAGGCCCCGGGCTGAAGGCGGCGCTAAACCACTGAGCCACCCGAGCTGCTCTAAATTTATCTTTAATACTGCTTCATGCATTAACTATCAGTTGGAATTCCTGCAAAGCACCCAGGCCACCGCCACACTTATTCACACACATACACAAAACACATTGGTTTTGCTACACAACTATCTCCTTTCTGAGCTCGGTGATAAGTGCAGATGGTAATATTTCTGAAGAAAATCACAAGAATGAATATCAAAGCTGAGTCCATGGGACCCTGTATGGTTTGGAGCCTACCTGTGCCTTGTACCTCATCTATTAGGTATAAGGTAGTCTGGATAGTGGAATATGATAGTGAGCAAAAACAAACATGAAGCCTAACCTCAAGGGATCAAGGGCTTTGAGAATATATTATATGATAATTTGATGGTCCCCTTTGCTATCTGTGTCAGAGGCTTGTGGGCTTTTCTTCAGTTTCTCAAAAGTGTCATGCCCTCTGTACCCATTCTCTCATGTGGAATGTTCCACATTCCTTTCCTTTCCTAGTTGCTGAGCTGGACCCTTACTCTTCTTTCAGATCTCAGCAAAATCATAACTTCTGGGAACATAGGAGAGGAAGCTTTCCTTGGCTAGCAAAACTGTCCTAGTCTATATACTTTCATAACATATATGAAGAGAGTATTTCATAACATATATGAAGAGAGTAAAAGAATCAGTCATAAATTTTCTTTTCCTGTAGGCTCTTTGCCTTCCCTTTATGTCAGTATTAAGTGGAAAAAAGAAGAGAAGTCATGATTTAACATCATAGATAATGGACTTTCCAGAATAGTCTTATTTTCAAATATTATTCCATTTTCTATACCATTTTCCCCAATTTTGCCATTCTCTGAAAATTATCCCTGACATGAAGAATTGAACGTTATAGTTCTGTGTATAAAATGTGACCCTGTGCCCTGGCTACTGGTAATAGAACTGAGTCCAGATCTCTAGGACTCACTGACAGCCAGTCACCATCAGCATACACGAAGATTCCTTGCAAGAATTTGAACTAAATGTCAACAAAACTGAGATAAAGAGGGAAAAGGCAACATAGCAGTAGCAGAAAAGAAAGGGGGCTGATAAATCTAGTTTTTAAGTCTCAGAGCTTGCCTAACTCCTGATGCTCCTGAAGATCAGTAACTCTGGTCTTCCTTGAAAGACAGCATTATTCTTCCAGCAAGTTCTTCTTTTATTGTTTAAGCCGATGTGTGTGGTTTCTGTTACTTAATGCCTAGTCCCTCTGATGAATAAATATCTGTCCTTTGACATATGTCAAAGTTGTTTCATTTGCATCTGCCCAGAAGTAGAATGTAATGTCCATGGTGTACACCCATATGAGCTGATTAAGCACTCGAAGAGTAAAGAATTAGAGTGTTCTCAGTTAAATGATGCCTCAACCATTTACTAGTTGTGGGCTTCTGGACAATTTATTAACTGTTAAGATTTCAATTTCCTTACCTGTATATTGGGGAGAATGGAAAATATAGGGACAATAAAATTCCAATCAAATGCCTAGCACTTCATAAGTTAGTCATAAAGATGGTTATTAGTCAAAGGTTTGAACAAGCATAAAGGCAACTTTCAGGATTAACTATACTTTCCTCTGGGCTCTTTTACTCTTTCTTATTATGTGTTAGATTTATAGAGAGAGGATAAGAAATATAATATAACATAACATAATTCAAGGTTATAATGGCCAGACCGTGAATATCCGTGGTCTTGAACTTAGAAGATAGATGTTCCTACAATATGTTAAGTCAGCTGCCTAGATACCAACGTTTTACAGGCAAAAGTGTTACTTAGAACTTAGCTGTACTTAAAGTTTATTAAGTAAATTAACAATCCTAGCATACGCTGAAATACCTCCGGCTTTTTTCAGCTGCTTGTGAAGAGTTCTATAATAGTTTATAGGTTAGTAAATTTTGTGAATCTATTTTCAGCAGAGAAATATTATTTAGCAGTGAAACATCTCTGGCAATGGAACAAGATGAATAAAACAGAAGCCAGAGATATGTCTTCTATCCTTCTAAGAGAGACCGACGAAGTGAGAGAGAGAAAGGGAGAGTTGAGCTAATTCTACTAGCCTCTCAAATTGCATTGGCACATTTAATCACAAACTGCTTAAAAGAGTAACCTCATCTCATGGCTTTCTTTTCTCAATGCTTCACTTTTTAACTCAATGCAGACTGACTTTCCTCTCATGTCCAAAGTTCACCAATGACTTCTTACTTAGTGAAATGGCTTCTGCTCAATCCTCACACTCCTCAACTTCTGAAGCACTTCACCGTGTTGATTACACCCTTTTTTTTGGAACATAGGGTGATTTTTCTTTTATAATTCTCTCAACTTTGTCTGGCTTCTTCATTGCATCTTCTTTCTCCACCTACCCCCTAAAAGTTGGCCTATTCCAGTCATCTGTCTCTAACCTTATGCTATTTTATTCTACTTTTCTCTATATCTATCCTATCTTAACCAGTTCATCAGATGCAGACCATTTTGCAGTCACCCAAGATGACATAATGGGTCTTATATGTACCTGCATACTTCTTGGTCTCCACGGCTTCACTCACATTATTTTACTGCTGGAATTTTCTGAGTTCAGTGAAAGTTGCCACTTTTTAGATAACACAACAAAAAGTGATCTTACCATCTACTGAATTCTCATAGTAATCACATTGTTCTTTTATTACCACTTGTTAAATACTATCATGCCATTGCTTATCAGCACAGAATTATACTGATTTTAAGTCAAAATGGCTGTTTTTCAGATGAAGGAGGAAAAAAAAGTAAGTCCAGAGAGATAAAGATACTTGCCACAGCTCACAAGTGGTAGAGGTCAGACAAAATCGAGATACTGCTTTTTCCATTAAATTGTTAGCCTCTTTAGAGTAAAGAATATATCTTACTCATTTTAAGGAACTATTATAGGGTTTCAAAAATAGTCAGTGTTTAAAAAGATATTTGCTGACCAAATAATGTAATGCATAATGGACACATCAGTGACTGGGGGGGGGGGGGCGCTAAATTTTTTTAAAACATTTTTAAAAAGATTTTTATTTATTTATTTGAGAGAGACAGAGAAAGAATGAGCAGAGGGGAGGGGTAAAGGGGCAGAGGGAGAGGAAGAAGCAGACTCCACTCCACCCTGAGCAGGGAACCTGATGAGGGACTCAATCCCAAGACCTTGGGATCGTGATCTGAGCCAAAGGCAGACGCTTAACCAACTGAGCTACCCAGGCACCCAGGGGGTCCTAAGATTAAAGGAAATATATGTTTTAAGAGTAGAGCCTACTTCATGTTGAAATGTCAAGGAAAAGAACTGAAGTTGGAAAAAATTAAATAAATGAATAGGGAAGATCCTTGAGGAGGTGAGAGGGAAAGAGTCGAGGTCAAGAGAAGAGACTAATTTCAAAAATGAAGAGAAAAATCTTTTGTCTTGACATTGAAGGGAAAAGTATTAAATCTGGCCTCTGGACAAGTATATTAACGATTCTCTTCTCTTTAAAAGTACTTCAGAACATAAATGTGTCACAACCGTTCACAACACAAACATAATCTGGCATTGGATCATTCCTGGGGAATATACCCACAACCTCAGAATTCATCCATTGACAGAAAGGAAACCAGATTAACATGGAGATCTCATATCTGTGATCCCAGAAAAGAAAGCTGAATAAAAGAAGTCATTCAATAAAACAAGCACTTTTGAATGAATGGGGGAAAACATTAAGACTGGGTGGTAAGTACAAGACTGCCATATTCTGACTCAATTTAGAAAGTAAGAAAGAAGAATAAACACTGAATCATCATGTACTTAAAATAAAATTCAAAATATAAAAAAATGATGTACATTGCACATTGCTTGCAATGTCATGACTTGAGATTTTCTTCCTCAATGAATCGTTAATTATCTGCTATAAATGTAAAACATCCCCCGCCTGAAAATGCAAAATATCCTTGGAAAACAGCTTCTATAAACTGGGAGGCTTCAGGAAACTCAGTATCAAAAGAGTCCTGAAAGTTTTCTACATTCTCCTTCCTTCCTCTCACCAGCAGCACCACCCCACTCAGGGAAATAAGGCCGAGTATGGCCATTTTCAGCACTAGGCTGGCTGTCTGAAGACAAGTCACCTCTTTCACACCACAAGAATTCAGAATTCCCACAGTCCACAATATGGCTAACGCCAGATATTTCTTTGGCAGCTTTGGAACAAAGCAGCTGGGATAAAAAAAAGGCTCAATGCTATACTCAGCGAGGAGTAGGGCTTGACTGGCAGCTAACCCTGGCCCCAGAAACAAAGCTGTCCAGAGATTCAGGAAAGAGATCAAGTTGCCAAAACATCTTTTGAGAAAATAGTAGTGAGCTCCACTGCATGGGAAGGTGATACCTATCTCTGCTGAGCAGAGTGGTCATCATGGACAACAGGGCCAAATACACAGGGAGAGCCCCACATTCATGCAAGTCTTTCAATACCCCTTTTGGGGCCACAAAAATTCCTACACCAATTATATTAACAATTAAAAACCTTGTGCCCAAGCAATATCCAAGCATTCTTTGGAGTTGTATCTTCTTTATCCACTGTAATTATTTTTTTAAAAAATATAAAAATATATATAAATTATAATTTCTGAAGTTTTCTGCCCAAGTTGCTGAAAAGGATGTTCATGAATTCTCAGAAATAAAACAGTGCTTTCCTTTTTGTTCCACTTTGTTAAATATAGCCTATTTTCAATCATTAACAAAATATATGTGATGCATCCAAGCGAAATAATGTAAAGTTACTTGGAAGAGTTCAGTTTCACTTGTTTCTTAATTATTATCAAAATAATACATTCAGATGGAAAAAGGAATTTCATAAAACAGTATTACAACAAAAACAGGAGTTTCTTACTCTAATTTCACTCTTTTCCAAATACATTTCCAGTTCTTTTCTCTCAAAACAACCATTTATGTGTGGTTTTAGTTCTTTTCGATAGTTGCCTCCAGAACTCTAAATAATATGGAAAGACTTTTAATACTAAACATCTCAACTTTAAAAATCATCTATTGACTTCCTCCCATAAATACTGAGGAGTAACTCACTTACTTTCCTCTTACTTAACCTATGCCTTTTTCCTACCATTTTTTACCATTAAGCTCTCAAGAAACAAAGTATTTACCTTTCATCAGGCTCACGGAAACCAATTAATACAGTGAGAGAGTGAAAAACCCTGCAACATAAGACTGTCCCTTAACCAGCCATCATTCTGGTAGCCTGGGTCATACACAGGAAGATGTGAACCTGAAGTATAGGAGAAAGCCTAACCCCACAGATGGAGGGAAGGAAGTTTCTGAACATCTGAGCAAGGCCTGGATCTTAGTAGCTCTTACATTTGTTGGCTTTACAACACAAAGCATTTTTCTGAGTATCTGCAAAGCCCTATAAGCTTGAGGCACACCCCCAGCCTTGGAAGTATATTATTTTCAAATTATCCTCTAAGAGTGAATAAAAAAGAAATTGTTTATTTATGTTTTCTTTCTTTCTTTCTTTCTTTCTTTCTTTCTCTCTCTCTCTCTTTCTTTCTTTTTCTTTTCTTTTCTTTCTTTTTTTTTTTTTTTTGGCTATAGCTATTTTCTGGAAGATTGCATTCAAGAAAAGCCGCTGAAAATACTGTATAGATCTCAATAAATATGACAACGTCCTCTCCCCAATGAAACCATACCTCTCATCACATCCCAGAAAGCAAAGACCGGGGAGTAGGGAAGGAGACCAGAAAGCTCACGTTAAGATAGAAACAAAGTATGAGAAGTAAACCAGACATAGAGAGACAAGTACTGCATGATTTCACCTATATGAGGCATCTAAAATAGTCAAATTTATCAAATCAAAGACTGGAAGGGTGGTTACCATGGGATGAGGGGGAAAAGGGAAGTTATTAATCAACAGTCATAACATTTAAGCTAAATAAAATGACTACTCTAAAGGGCTGCTGTACCACAGTATACCTATGGTCAACAATAATGCACACTGAAGATTTTTTAAGAGGATAGATCTCATGTTAATTGTTTTTATCATAATAAAATGTTTTTTAAAAGAGTAAAATATAATTTAACTTATTAACTTATTAAACTTATTATCAGACTCCTGGTCTGAGGGGGATATACTTGAAAATTCTAGTGAAACTACTGCATCAAAAGGAAAAATATGCAAAAATCATCCAATATTAGGTTCCCTGACATAGCTCCTGCAATGCCTGAAGGAATATCTTCCACACAGCATATATATAGATGAGCTAAGCTCAGCCATTGGACAGACACTCTAAAAGGCTAAACAAGAAAATGCCATGCCAGTGCCTTCTTACACATAACTTAAGAAACAGAAGACTGGGAATGTGGAGGAGACATTCTGAAGGACATCAAATTTTACAGTGACATGCCACTCTCAAGGGTTTGCAGTGTTATTCTTTTTTATCTTTTTTTCTTTTTCTATAATTGATCTACTAGGAAAAGATCTGTCATAATGGCAGATCGAAAAGTGTCAGTCTTATTGAGTGTATACCATCAGCTCAGTTGTACAGATATGCAAAAAAAGGCTTATAGAAGTTCAGGAATGTATCCAATTCATGTGCCTCTATTTCTGTCTTATTCCAGTCTTTGATCTTAATGTCTAAACTCTACTTTTTTGTAGCCCTGACTTAAAAATAACTTTGATGGCAGATGGAGGATCCCCACTTGTCTGCTTTTCAATAAAAAGCAGGAAAACACTGGAAAATTTGCCAAAATAAACATTTTCTTTACTTTAGAAATTAATATAAGACTTCTAACAATTTGAGGAGAATTTATTCAAGAAAAATGTCTGAATTTTGTGGGTTTTTTAGCTTGTCTACTCCAATCCTCCTTCTCTCAGCTCTAAAGCAGCCTTGAAAACCAGCAGCCCTGATATCATGGTAGCTGTGAAAACTCCCAGTACTGCAGGGACAAACCAAGAGCCCCTCGAAGAGTACCGTCTCCAGCGCATTCTTCTCAAATATCTCTTATCTTTGAAAAAGCCCCATTTGCAGGGCTTAGACATTACTCAGCTTGCTCTGGGAAAATCCCTATCTGCAGGGCATTTGTCTGAAATAGTCAACTGCAATTGATTAACACAACAGCTGCCTACAGCAGCAATGCCACTTTAGTGAAAAAAATCCCAGCCTAAAATTTATTTTTTTTTATTTTTTTTTTTACTATTATAGTTTTTTTTTTTAATTTTTTATTTATTTACGATAGTCACACACAGAGAGAGAGAGAGGCAGAGACACAGGCAGAGGGAGAAGCAGGCTCCATGCACCGGGAGCCTGACGTGGGATTTGATCCCGGGTCTCCAGGATTGCGCCCTGGGCCAAAGGCAGGCGCCAAACCGCTGCGCCACCCAGGGATCCCCCCAGCCTAAAATTTAAAAGGCAGATCTGGAGGATGAAACATCCAGAAGGGCCTTTGAAAAGTGTTCACATGTCCCTGAATAACTAGGAAGCCATGTACATGTTGAGGCTATCCAAAGCCGGGGAAGGACCTGATAGGGCCCCAATCCCTTACCTCTGGCTGACCTTGAGGCTGCACAAACAAGAAATGAACCCTCAGGCAGACTGGTAAATTGCCTTAGCCTCAACACACACACACAGAGAGCTCCTTGGCAAAGAGTGGAAGAATTACTATTTCCAAGCATTTGTGGAAACTTCTGATCAGTTGTTAGCTATTGAACCAGCACAGTAAAGAGTTCAGTGGTTGCACACTACAGGAAATATAGACTGTATCAGGTTCCCAGGGCTATAGTAATAAATACCAAAATCTCAATGTCTTTTTAAAAATATTTTATTTTTTAATTCATGAGAGACACAGAGAGACAGAGACAGAGGCAGAGGGAGAAGCAGGCTCCCTGAGAGGAGCCCAATGTGGGACTCGATCCCAGGACCCCGGTATCTCAACGTGAGCCAAAGGTAGACACTCAACCACTGAGCCACCTAGACGTCCCCAAAATCTCAATGTCTTAAAACAATATAAATATTCTGTCTCATTGTTTTAGAGGCTAAAAGTCTAAAATCCTCAGCAGGGCTATGTTCTCACTGACAGCTCTAGGTAAGGATCCTTCCTGGTCTCTTCTAGTTTCTGGTGATTTCTGGCAATCCTTAGCATTTCTTGATTTATAGATGCAATCTCTAGTCACATGTCTTTTTTGCCCTGTGTATCTTCATATTTCCTCTCATCTGTGTCTGTCTCTGGGTCTAAATTTCCCTTTTGAAAAGGTTACCAGTCATATTGGATTAGAGTCCACCCTAAAGACCTCATTTTAAATCAATTACCTCTGTAAGGACCCTATTTTAAATAAGGTCACATTCTGAGGTACGAGGTGTTAGAACTTAAACATACCTTTTTTTGAAGGACACAATTCAACCCATAACATAGATTTTATAGAATTAGTCCAGGAAGGTGATTAAACACACAGGCATGCATGGGCACGTGCGGGCGCGCGCACACACACACACACACACACACACACCAGCAGCAATAACAACAATAAGCTAAGGGAATGAGGGCTCTGATTTTCAGAGGTACCACATTATATATCTAAAATGTCCAATTTTGACAAAAATTTATGTAACCCATAAAAGAAGCAAAAAAGTATGCCCACACACAGGAAAATAAGCAGTCAATAGAAAATCTATTTGAAGAAGCCCAGATGTTGGACACATCAGAAACATTTAAATCAACTTCCAAAAACATGTTCAAAGAAATAAAAGAAACTGAGTCTAAAAAAATGAAAAGAAAGTATGATATCTCATTAAATAGAGAATATTAATGAGGATACATAAAGTATTTAAAAACCAATAGAAATTCTGTAGTTAAAAAGTAAAATAAGTGAAATGAAAAATTCAGTAGAAGGACTCAAAAGCTGATTTAAGCTGACAGAAAATAGAATCACTGTACTTGAAAATAGATCAGTTAGGATTATTACAATCTGAAGAGAAAAAAGAAAAAATAATTTAAAAAATGAACAAAGCCTGAGAGACCTGTATGGTGCCAATAAACACACTGGCATGCATGTAGTGGAAGTACTAGAAAGAATTTGGAAAATTGGGCAGAAATGACATTTTAAAAATAATGTCTGAAAACTTCCCAAAATTGATTAAAAGCAAATGAAACCCAAGTAGAATAAACTGAGAGCTCCCCACCTTTGTGCATCATAGTTGAACTGTAGTAGGACATAGACAGAGAATCTTGAAAGTATCAAGAGAAAAAAACAACTTATCATGAATTAAAAATTCTCAATGAGATTAATGCTAACTTCTCATCATAAACTATGAAGACCAGAGGCAATGGGATGACATATTTAAAGTGCTAAGGAGTTGAGGGGAAGACCACCAACCGAGAATTCTACATCTGACAAAACTATCCTGCAGAATTGTGGGGAAAATTAAGATATTCCACTGTAAACAAAAGCTAAAAGAATTCACAACCATCACTTCAGTCCTAATGGAAAGTTTTCAATCTTAAAAAAGACACTATAGGGTAAGTGAAATCCATATAAAGAAATAGAGTTTTAGTAAGGTAAGTACATAGATTATTATAAAACACAAAACAAATGAAATCTTGTAGCTTTTTTTCTTCTGATTTAGAAGACAACTATATAAAGCAATTAATATAAACCTGCATTGATGGTCTTATAGTGTTTAAAGATGTAATTTGTTTAACAAAAATATCACGTAGGAGAAGGGAAGGAATGGAGCTGTATTAAGGAAAAGTTTCTGTATACTATTGAAATTAAACTAATATTAATCTAAGCTAGATTAATTTTTTTAAAGATTTATTTATTTATTTATTTATTTATTTATTTATTTATTTGAGAGGGAGTGAGAAAGAGCATAGCAGGGGGAGAGGGAGAAGTAGGCTCTGCACTGAGCA